CATACGATACGAGTGAAAGCCGCCTTCAGACTGGGAGCCAAACGGGAGGGCGACCGTCCCCATCAAGTGAAGGTCGTTCGTGGGTCTGTGGAAGAAACCAGGTCAGTGTTTCAGCTCGCCTGCCGGGAGCTGACCGATTCTCCAGAGACCTTATCACAGTTGTGAACCCATTGGCCCTGCATCAACACTCCCACGAGACCACCAGGAGTAACGATTCTGCCTAATCAGACCTTGATCTGGTGTTATCCCCTCGTCCCAGTCGATTAGAGGTGTAACTGGTTTTGGTTGCTAGGTCATTGATGACAGCCAGCCCATTCACCCAAGTTCACCGCAAGATCTCCAACTCTGTCGCTGAACAAATATTGTTATTCAAATAGACCGATGATACTCGTAATGAAAAGTACATCGCTCGGATTGCACCGTAAGCACAAAACTCGTCCCTGATCGTAGTTACTGTGGTCAGCTATCGTCAATGTTAAAGCAACTACCAGCAGTTGTACTTTAGCTTGAGTGCACACGAATCAATGCGTCACCCTTCATGAGAATTGAATGGCGTCCAGCTTGGTTGTCACTCGCAAATAGCATGGCTTCACCGAACCACCGATTCGAAGGCCGTCACACAGCTGGACAAGATGCACGACTCATTTCAACACAAAGAGCGTGGAAAGACAGATGGTCAATACGGGGGTAGAAAAAACGTGTGTTCAATTGACCAATGAGGTGCGCTGAACGGAAGCGGGCTCAACCACAGCGTTTCTTGCTCAAGTCAAAGCGATGATTTCTCAATTTAAAAAGACGATTTCACAAATCAAAATTATAATTTCTCAAGTCCAACTTAAACTGGTACAGTCGTTCATCGATAAATACACTTTCTTCCAGATGATGTGGAGCATTTACAGTTGTGGCTCCTTCTGTTCCGTGCAACACAGTGTGAGATTCTTACATCGAAGCAGATTCAACTGCCTACTTGTTTGTTGAATTGCATGTTTTTTGCGATTATTTGCCATAACAGTTAAAGGAGCTCTACCTAGTTCTATCTTTGTATGTTTCTTTTCATGATGGTAGGTCACTTCTTCACCATCCGGCTCAATAAGATACCTGGTCTATCGGCGTCCCGTGTGGCTCACCAACCTCCAGGGGCTTTGTTTGCCTATCTCCATAGGTGAACAGCAAGTCCTCGTGACTATGGGATTTATCTTATCTGTAGTTCGTCAGTCGCATAATAGTGTGTAATAAAAAATTCACTAACGGTAGATGGAACATAGTCACGCGTTCCAGATAGGCTCAATCTCACGTGCTACTTCATTCAGCAATATAGAACTGTTCACGTGGTCCAGATCGAACGAATTGCCCTTTGAAAATAATTCAGTGCCCTGATTCCTTTATTATAGAGAGCCAAAGAAAAGATGAACGGGAAATTCGTCTTATCCTGGGATTTTACCCTCGCAGATCCACGCAAAAATTTGCTCATATAATTATTTCACCTGGTAAATAAAGCGTTTGCTGAAAAACTGGGGAGCACTGGACTGCCACTTCAACCTATTTGGGTCTCATCAGCAGTGCAGACCCATCGACCAAATGCGGATCGAACTCAGGACCTCGCAGGTAGAACCCAAACATACCAACCACTCGTGCAAATGTAAATTGAGAAACGGTCTGATCGGCTGCCCAGTGGACGAGTGGGTAGCATGCTTGCGTTCTATCTGTGAGGTCCCGGATTCGATCCCCAATTGAGTCGTTGGATTCGCACCGCTGAAGAGACCCAACTAGGTCGAAACATCTGTCCAATGCTTCCCAGCTTTTCAGCAAACGACTCGTTTACAAGACAAATTCACCATAGAAACAAACCAAATACTCCATTACTCTCATACACCAAATATTCGGGCTGTGAAATTTTCCACCCGAGTCATAACCGTGGAGGCTATTGCTGAGATGAGCAAAGCGCGATGCCCGCAACAAGCTCGAAAAGATGGATTGTGCTATATCGTGTAAATTGTCCTGGTCATTTTTCTTTTCATGTATCCGTGCTAGATCTGCGTCCAATCATGCAATGACAGGCTGAGTACGAACCATTAAGTCCTGGAAAACAGTACTCAGCGTCTGTAATCTACGTACATTGAGATACCAACGAATAGGTAATATGTGCAGAATAGCTCAGGTCCTGATAAATCGGGACTGAGCCCGACAGAATAACTCCGGATCTTGTATCAGGCCGCTCATGATGCTCCCTCGAACCAACTTGAAGGAAGCAGCACATGCTTAGGAGGGGGAAGACTGGTCACAGCCAGTCGGTCAATATATGTGGCTCAGGCTCCGAGTGTGCAGACATGATTTAGAAAGGGACTGAGAACGCGACGCGAACCTGAACGAGATCACGCAAAACAGGAAAAAATCGGCACGCTCACCAATGTGAACGATTGCGCACCCGGTACCAGTCGGAGTGATGGGGAGATCCAGGTGCGTTTGGAGGCTCACAGGCCCAGAAGGATAAACCTGTGAGATTTGCAGGCTCAAACAAATAGATTGCATTGAATAAAGCTATCTAACCATCAAAAAACCAGTGGTTTGTGGGGCTAGGTATGATGCTAAATAAAGACCGTTTTAACTGTGGTCGGTTTTATGACAAAATCGGATGGTGGGTAAGTCTTCCAAGGACTACAACTGTGTGTTAATCCGTGGTGACATACTGGATAAGCAGATTGTTTAGACAAATCCGTCTAACCTATAGGTTTTTGCCGTCACAAGTATGTGCTAGTTTAACTCTATACTTGTTTCCTGTACCTCTTTTTCAGACCACGAGCGCGAAAATCGGCTACTGTTTTGGTTGCATTTCTAGTCTAATGTACCTCAGCTCCAGATTACCACAACTTATANCGCAATGTGAGTTTCTTATTCAATGTACTTCACTCTCCACGTGTGTTTGAATGTCTATACGCTGAGTGTCCTCTTTCAAAATTATATTCCGGATGCCATAACTTTCGAAGCATAACCTCCAGTTAAGATTGGATCAGCTGTCGCGTCCCAATATCTGACGATGTGTCCAGTTCTTACTTGGAAAGCGATCGCTGTTAAAAAAGCCGTAAATGCCCACAGGAAGCATGCACGAATCTGACCCACTTCTTAGTAAAACCATTGCCATCTTGATGTAATTGCCTGTACAAGGGATAGATTGAACGGTACCGGAAATTTAATACTATACTCTCAAGAATATTCACTGATTTTTCCATCATACTGAGTTATCCTCACTTGGAAAATGGCCTAAAAGTACAATGAAAAGCAGGTCTTCCTAACTCCAGGTGCGGTTTCGTAAAGTTGACTAAGTGGCACGTATATAGTTTATTCATCTCCCATCCTGTGTCTCTTCATCACAAACCACACCACTATCCATAATCCATTGTTTTCCTACACTTTTGCAGTACCAACGAAGCTCGACTGAAGGCCTTTGTTTAGGCCTTTTCTGTCTGGCAGCACTAGGTAATACTTCCTACGGATTACAGATCTTTTTGACCTCGCTCTATCCCACATATCTTCTGGAATCGCTGCCGTGGCTCGTCGGCAGTGTTGGAGTCCTAGGACTGGATTTTCTTGTAAGTGCAGTTAATTTGTTCGTTTTGTTGTTTCCCTTCTGTCGTATTCCTATACTTCATGATTTTTAAATTGCAGCATATTTTGGGCCCCAACCCGGTAGTCGAGAGCTACCAATTTTGTATTGTATTATGAGGGAATTCGTCATGTATAGAGAAAATGAAGCGTAAACTGAAAAGCTAGGAAGTGCTGGACAGCTGTTTCGATCTGTTTGGATCCCATCAGCTAGGGATTGAACGCGAGACCTCACAGGCAGAACGCAAACGCGGTACCCACTCGGTCACCGGGCAGCTGAGCAGACTGGTTTTCTCTTTTAATTTGCACTATATGGCACAACCAACCTTTGCGAGCTGGTTGCGGGCATCGCACCTCGCTCATCTGAGCACTAGCCTTTAGCTTGTGACTTGGTTAATAAAATCCAACTAGGTCGAAACAGCTTTTCAGCTGACACTTCATTTGCTCTGTGCACAATATATTCTCCCAAACATTTTTTTCGTTTATCATCTGGCTTCCTGTCTGATGCACAACATTTATGGAGCTGCTGAATGTATTCATCAAAGGGGAGTTGATTGATTGGATCATAATTTGTTTTTGTAATGTGTCACCGAGCATTTAAAGTGCACCGTGGTAGTTCGACANTTCGACAATGGTGTGTGTGTGACGAGGAGAAGAGGGGGGGGGGCTGATGAATTAGGTCATCCATCATCATCTGATACAAATCACCTGACCTTTGCCACTGTGGGTCACCAGTTATGTGTTACCCGTCAGCAGTCGACTCGGTCATTAGGGTGAGACTGTCTCTCGGCGCATGTGTTATGTCTTACCAGGATTTCGCCTTCGATTGATGAATGCACCGATTCATCGTACACGTGGTATTCAAGTTTGTTTTCAGACTGACCGATCGAAGAGTTCCGCGAACCCTGATGTTTATGTGTGTATGTGTTATCGACAAGCTGTTTTTGCGACCCTCCTGACCCTGGGTACCGTGTATGATCTAAGAGTGTACATTGAGCGCCGAAGGCAGGTTAATGTCTGTAGTTAAGCGTGTGATGGTGGGCTAAGGAGTTTTCTTATCAGCGGAAGTGCTTGATGCTCATCGGTTGCTCATATTGTGCTCAAAAGCGGACATCTCGTCTTACTTAGTTTTGCTGCTCAGAAGAAGTTGAAGATATGCACTTCTTTTAGTGGCTAAAAGTTTGTAAAAATCTAAACCGCGAGCTTTTCAGTTTTTACAACCATTAACCATGCCTTTTCGTACAGACGTTTTGATTGCTGTCTTTTAGTTGTCCCGATGCTTGTTCGTCGTATCGGTGTATGCACCGACCAATTGCAGTATACCTGAAATCAAGGATGAATTCTACAAGGGTCTTTCTCAATTACTCCGAAGTGTTCGATCAACGGACATCGTAGTAGTCGCCGGAGACTTCAATGCTCAAGTGGGATCCCTGGATGAATCAGAAAGGCTTCTTGGCGGACCGCATGTAATCCCAGCCAACCGGACGGACAACAGATATCGCCTACTTCAACTCTGCGCGGACCACGGGTCGTTCTTGTCAAACACAAACTTTTCACACAAGAAACATCCCCGTGCTACATGAAAACCGCCAACCTCTTCACAACGCTGGACCCAGATCGACCACATCGCCATCAGTTACCGCTGGAGGGGATCAATTTAAGACTACCGCTCTTACTAGTCAACAGCTGTGGATACAGACCACGCCTTGTTACGAGCCAAATTCTCCCTACACCTGGCGAACAATCGTAGAAAAGCCACCGACAACGGATACCCACGATACAACGTCAGCGATTGCTGCAAATCGGACTTCGAAGCGGAGCTCTCCGATCGTCTGTGAGTTCAACCACCAGTCGAAGGACTCAATAAACACTGGAAACAAGTCAAGGAAGCTATGCAGATATCGATAAAGTTAAAATCGGACCCTGGCACAGGTTAAAAACATAAACGATGGATCGCGTCGACCTTGGCTGCCCTGCTGGACGCCCGCAGAACCCTGCCTCCGGATGCCACATATGACACAGAGCGTAAATCCCTTCAACGCCAGCTCATCAAGAGTCTGAGGAATGACCACGAGAAGTGTAGAGAGATGGAGAAGGCTGCACCTATCGGCAATAGTCGCAATCTTTTCCGTCTAATTAGGAATACAGGCCCTAGAAAAGTAGGCGTAACAGAGGAAATTAAGGAATCCAATGGCACACTGATTCACGATCAGCAACGCCGTCTTGATCGTTGGGCTGAACACGTCAAGGCTCAGTTCAACTGGCCTCCATCGACATCTAATGTTTCACCCTGGGCAAATTCTGCCAGTTGATGCTAGTCCTCCATCTGAAATGGAGTTTCCCGAGAAATAAGGCATGAAGCTTCCGGCCCTGACGGGCTGTCCCCATCGGTTTTTACAGATGCAGGTTTTGGAGTTAACAAAACTCTGGGGCTCAGTGTGGCGGAGGGAAGAGGTTCCAGCCGAATGGTGTGAATCGGTAATCATACCGATTTACAAGAAAGATGACAGATCCTCTTGTGAAAACCACAGTGCAATTAGTCTGATCAACATTACCTCTAAACTTCTCTCCGGCATCATACTCCGACGATTATCTGGCGCACGTGAACGGTGTACGTGTGAGAACCAGGCTATTCGAAGTTGTATCGACCATATCTTCACTTTCCACCAGATTCTGGAGCATCGACATTCCTTTCGTAGACCCACCATTCCTCGATTTGAAAGCAGCTTTTGATTCAATCGACCGCTCTAAACTCTGGCGCTGTATTTCTCTGAAGCATGGGCCCGATAAGTTTATTTCAACTTACAGTCACTAGCTCACCGTCGGGCAGTCTCTTCTTTATCACTGTTCTATTGGTACTCCTTTGGACTTTGCTCTGATGAACTTTCCGCATCTGTCCCTCTCTCACTTGTTCTTCCTCGTAGATCGCGCGCACAAGCGGCTAGCCACTCATTTCAAGTAACTATCCCCAGGTATCGCATTTCTAACTTTTAATCATCTTTTTTCCCAAAAACAGCACAACTGTGGAACACTCCGCCTTTCGGTTTTCCCTCCAACGTACAACATCCATGTTTTTAAACGCAGAATCAACAAGCTGGTTCTAGCTTGAATGTTCCCCACTTGCAGTATATTTTTGGATCATGGGGGTTATCCATTTTACTGTATTCACTTTTGTGTAATAAAAAAGGAAATCGGGAACGCAGTAGTTATTTGCTTGTGCATTTTCTCATTCTCTCAGCAATGTTAGTTGACCAGAATTCTCGTTGACACTACTGTCAACATTCTAATCTTCTGTCGACTCTTTTCCTCGAATAGACAACCATAGTCGCCGCACAAACTTGCGTGGTTAATGACTGTAAAAACTGAAACTGATTCAAGAATTTTCCGCAGATAGTGTCCTCCGTTCGAGTTATTTCCACAGCTCAGATGTGGGGAGAGACTTTGAATTAGCTCGTACCAGCTGACCGTAGTCCCGGTGTTTATTCAGGGTTATGGCTTAGAAACAGTTCATTTCGGTTTTATTTTTACAATTATGAAACACGCACTTTTGTGCGCCGGTTCAGGTTGCTGTCTCATGAATGCGTACTTGGATGATGAAGTAAAGGGAGGATTGGAATGTTGAAACCAGTGTCAACGTGAAAGCAGAGAATTCATATGGACTGAGGTTGCAAGAATAAAGAGTAGATGCCACTGTTTGCGACACAGCCTAGTCGCTCAGTGTCTGTAACCACCGTTGACCAACATCCCTAGGTCCTCAGCCAGGGAGCCTACCGGGACCTGTGTGACCGAGTTTCTTGGGTAGGCATTTTATAACCTCATGCGCGGCCTCATTTTGATCACCCTTGGCTTTTTTCCACCCACTATCTACCTCGGAAGAGGTTTCGACTGAATGGTGTGAATGTGTGATCATACCGATTTACAAGAAAGGTGATAGGTCCTCTTGTGAAAACCACAGATGAATTAGTTTCTTCAACAGCGCTTCTAAACTTCTCGCTCGGATCATACTCCGTCGATTGTCCGCCGCACGTGAAGAGTGCACGCGTGCAAGTCAGGCTGGTTTTAGACCTGGTCGAGGTTGCATCGACTACATCTCCACTCTTCGCCAATCTCTGGAGCACCGGCAGTCTTTTCGTAGACCCACCGCCTCTATCTTCCCAAACCTGAAAGCGGTTCTCGAGTCTGTTTTTCTCGATTTGAAAGCGGCTTTCGATTCAATCGACCGCTCTAAACTCTGGCGCTGTCTTTCCCTAAAGGGTGTGCCCGAGAAATTTATTTCAATATTACGATCCCTCTACACTCATAACCGAAGTCAAGTCCGAGCTTACGGCACTTTTTCACCCGAGTTCACCACGGAAAGTGTTGTTCGTCAGGGTGGCTCTCTCTCTTCGTTTCTGTTTAACTTTGTTGTAGATTTGATTATGGAAACATCTCTATCCTCGTGCGAGGAAAGTGGCATTGATTTACTCCCAGGTGGTGGACTGCCTGATCTAGGGCATGCTGCTAAGTGAAGATCCAGGTAGGTTGCAAACTTTCCTGAATAGCTTAGGTGTTAGCGTATGCGTTTTGCACCTTCAAAGTGTAACATGCTACTACAACGCTGGGTTGATCCAGCACTCAGTCTCATTCTATCTGGGGAAGTGATAGAACAGTTGGATAAGTCTTGTTACTTGGGCAGCTACATCTCACCCGGTGGACGCATCACGAATGGAGTGTCTGCTCGCATACAGAAGGCTCGATTGGCATTTGCCAACTTGAGACATCTGTGGCACCGTCGCGACATCCGGTTGTCTGTGAAGGGTCGAGTGTATGCTGCAGCATACACTCGACCCTTC